GCACCCTTAATTTATGACTTAAACGCAGTGAAAGATACAGTGGAAAGTTACCTTACAAATATAGCATAGCCATTCAAAACAGTACAGTCCCAAGCCTGAAAAATCTCACATAGTTCTAAAAGTCTAAAAAAAAACAGAGAACTGTTTTGAGCAACCTTAAGTTGCCAGCAATGAAATTGCCCTAGCTATGCCTTTAATGATAGGCACTTTAGATTTGAGTGCAAATACAAGATCGAGTATGAGTGTGAGTTTTCAGTTCTAGTATGCAGGCTCCGCATTATCATGTCACATACCCGTCTCATCCCATGAGCTACCCTCTCCACCTAAAACCAACGTGAAGAGTGAGGGTTCTGGGAATCATGGCTGGTTTGAAATAAAAAAATCGTACATGTACTCAATCTCATACTTGTAGTTAAATCTCTTTTGGCAAAGAATCCATTTTATTTTTTTCTTTTTATTATTATTATTTTTAAAATCCTATGTCTCTGTCTATACCAAGTACGCTGAGCAATACTCAATATCGCACTCATAGTCCGATCTAGAGGTCCCTAGTGATCACTGGGGGGATGTCCCTTGTATGAAAATGTATTATTCAACATTCAAATGCTCACTGTTCAATGGTAAAACTGACACCTTCCATGTTTTCTTATTTCAGAGGCAATTGAGCAGAAAGGTAAGAAAACAGTTTTCTTTTAATTTTTGGGACTGTAGTAACAAAAGCACAAATTTTAGTTCACAGTAAGGTAGTCAGAAAGATGTTCTTGATGTAAACTCGATTAGAAAGACATTTGTTTTAGAATATCTTATGCTTACTTGGTTCAAATTGCACCTGGAATTATCTGATACTGATAACCTAGATACAAATACAAGTAACCTTCAACAACACTTCCTAGAAGCCAGTAGTAAAGTCTTTATTAAAAGCTTGCTGGTGCAACAGCTTTGGATGCCTTTTGATTCGCAGAAAACAAGGAAGGGGTGCATAGCTGCAGCAGTCAGAGAACTGCTATCACAAATAAGAATTACACTACAACTGTGATAAATTAGAGTCAGGAAAGAGCTATCATAAAACAATAAGAGTCAGAGTCAATAAGAGTCAGGCAACAGCTTGTATCATAATTTGGAGGGGAGAGCAAATTGTTGAATCAGTTATTTAGAGATTTGTCTCAGAAACAATGGAAGAATCAAAACAAAAGTTCTGCCAAACCTTTTTAACCTGACATCACCAAACTTCTGCATCTGTCTGGAAAGTCTTCCATTATATCACTCTTTTTATCACTTAGTTCACCTGCATAGTAACACAATGTTAGCACAAGTAAACCATTATTTTTGGGTTTCCATCAATTAAAATGTGCATTTTGGCTTTAGTCATTGAATGATGAATCATTCTGGTCTTTTTTTTACCAGCTCACCACTGATGTTGGAAGATTACGTACAAAGCAAAAGGACAATTAATTCTTCAATCAAGATGCTGTATTTAACATTGATAATTGGTTTGCTTGTGTAAATGAGAGTTTAAAACTAGCATGGTTTTATACAAGATCTTGTAAACTGTTGTTGCTTTGTATTTTGAACTGCAATGACATTGTTGTGAAAATTAGAAGTGGTTCTTTCTTTTTGAGAGTTCAGTGTTGGTTATTATGCGCCCATGTTTAAATTTCCCATAGCTGCAGCCCCTTGTTTGAAGGCATGCTTTAATCCCCACTTCTTGTAATCCTCACTTATAGTTATTGTACAAACCAAATGCAAGAGTTGCAGCTACTGTCTAGCAAAAATTTTAGATTATGAGCTAAAGATTTCTGAGTCCTATGAGGGAGAAGGCGGGATCAGCCATTATCGCATAGAGCCTGAGAGCTATAATCTAGTTTTCGTTACGGTAGAAGAATTGTAACTGATATTCCTTCAAGTAATGGTTTCTAGTCATTAAGCTAAATATTAAGTGGTATTGATTTAAACTTCAAGCTTAAAGCGAAATCACGCTGAAACTTGCAGCTGTGTAGGCGCGCTTATCAGTTCATGCGATAATTTTGAATCCTCTCGTAAATTACATCACCCAGCAATGTTTTTAAACCTCTGAAACTTCGAGGTAACGAGATGCATTTCGATACACATTAATGGCTGACAGCTTAGCCAATTAGATTGCAGCGTTTGTATTAGTCTTCGAGAAGAGTCCTTCTAATTACGCCTTTTTCAGACGTAGCCTTGATCACAAAATTTTAAGTTCAAAGTTATGTAAGTGCCATTGTGTCTGATGTTGCCCGGCCAGAATTGGTCCTTCTTGAGACCCTACACTTTTATACCAAATGCCCAGCCACTAGATTTGATACTAGACGAAACCGGCCCAAAAAAGCACATTGTTCAGAACCAGTTTTGTTAATATTTAACAGATCACGCTGACTGGCCGAGTAAAATGAGTTGAATAGCTCGTGCTTGGTTTTATTCGGCGTTACATTTCTAGCCCTTT